TATTTTTGTACATAATAAATAAATGTTTGTATTAAATTAAACAATAATACATTTTCTTAATAAAATTAGGGTTTTTGCCCTAAATTCAAAATACTCCAAAAAATAATATATTTTTATTTTCTTTTCTCTTTTACATAAATAATATTTTTTCATACATATACAAAACATTTCTTTTGCATCTTGCATTCTTATTTAATTTTTGTACATTGATTAAATTGCAAATATTCAAAATGATGTAATAATTTAGATTTAAATTCTTGTCAATATCCCCATTTGAACATTTGTACCCCCCTTCCCATATTTGGTTTTGTAATAGTTTAGTAAATTTAATTTCGCACTTTATTGCTTTCTAATGATAACATGTTAGAATTAGGGTTTGTATGCGAAAAAACGATAAAAAAATAGTTATGACCTAATCTCAAGATAAATAAGCATGAAAATGGACACACAAATCACACTTGCACCCCTAGGGTATTCCACTTGTTGCCTTCAAATAAATGGGTCATATTGTATGTTGAACTTCTTTGGGCAAAGCAAACAATTTGAATGATCATAGTCCCTCGATAAAACTTTTTCAAAACAAACAAAAATAAATGATCAAGTCCCTCAAAGAAAATTGCCCAAAGACATTTAACGCCGTTGCAATTATGGTCCAAACGATGACCCGCGCCTGTCCCTTTCACATCCTAACATAAGGTTGTCCACCAAATCCAATGGTGGAACAAACTTGTTAAAAGGGTTAAAACCTAGCAATAATCTTTTGAGAAATTTAGGAGTAGATAACCTCTTAGTTACTTGAATCAAACTTGCAAAACAAAACACTTGTCTGATTTCAAAACCACACCTCATAACACTTTCAAAACAACTTTAAAAAACAAATGAAAACCTTTTCAAAAGACATACATCTTTGTATACATCCCACATGGATCATTACAAAGGTTGCCACCACATTGGCCTCTTTTCAAAATATTTTCAAACCCACACACTCAAGCACCATTTAAAACAATTGAAAACAAAAAGGCAAGTGATCTAAGCAAGTAACTAAGAGCCCATGGATAACCATGGATAGAAAGGGTGCTAATACCTTCCCTTTCTATAATCTACTCCCCGAACCCAAGAAAACATCTCAAAAGGTTTTTGCTGTGCTTTTTAACCTTTCCTTAGGATAAAATAAAAAGTCGGTGGCGACTCTTGCTGACCGCAACATTTGCGAATACAAACGTAAAACCCTAGTCAGTTCTCCCACCGTATCACAGTTCCCTTTGAAGAACCATACTTCGAATCCAATCTGAACCATTCAAAGCAAGCTTGTTTGAAGAATATTGAGCAAACCTCATAACCTTATCCTCCAAATCTCACTTGTCAGGCTATGTTGCTTCCAAATATTTACATAATCAGAGGCTTACACAAAGGTTCGAAGCTTTGTCTGTTGGATAATACTATTCTTGGATAAAATAGAAAAAAGCTACATACCTTTTTTTTCATAAAGAGTACTTTAATCACAAAATCAGCTCATAATCTGATTTTTGTCTGAACGCAAGCAATGCTAAAAGCATAAGTCAAATCTCCAGCCTCCAACAGAAAGCAGGCCCTCACTTGTACTTGAAACTTGGGAACCACGAAAAGGTTAAACTTGTTTTCGTTTTCAACCAAACCATGGTTTGTTATCCTACAAACCTAGTTACTTCAACATCTCCCAAACCTTTTCTCTATAAATAGAGAAACCACCAACAAAGAAAAGCCCCGGATTTTTGGATGTGGGAGAAAAATATCAAACTCTCAAAACACTCTCAAACCTAAAATTAAAAGGCCACACCTTTGTCGTTGTTCCTTTGAATCCAGAAGAAACACAACACCGATTTTCTTGGCCCTTCGAATCTAGAAGAAACACAACACTTGGTTCCTTCTTTCAAACCCATAATCTAAAGAAACACAACACTTGTTTATTTTTCTCTTTCGAATTTGAAGCAACCCAACGCTTGGTTCCTTCTTTCGAATCCAGTACTAGAAACACAACCCTTGTTTCTTTCCTTCGAATCCAGAAACACTCAGGTCAACCACTCAAGGTCCATCACACGTATCCCAGCTTCAAGCAAGGTAAGTCCTCTTAACCTTAAGCTTTTTGTTTCAAGCACAACATGTAAATAACCATTTCCTTTTGTTTCAAACATCATTATTATCCTTTGGTTTGTTTTCGTTTTCACCTTTTCAGTTTGTTTTCATTACTAACCTTTTGGTTTTGTTTCTTGGTTTATCAAACGTTTCTAAGAACTAATCTGGCCATGAGACAATACTAGCATGGCCTCAGGCCATGTTACTATTTAAATCCCAAACGAAAGAAAACGGGAGGAAGGGGGTGTGAATCGAAGCTTTAGGCTTCACCCATGGCTGCTTCACAGTTGCAAATAGAACAAAGAGTTTGGCCTTAGGCTCCGCCATACAATGACTTCCAGGCCATTCGAAGGAAGCAAAAAGTGACGTAATCGAAGGATACACTCACGTTGACTGCCAGGCCTCAATCGAAAGAAGAACAAAGGGCATGGTCGAAGGTTACTTGCTCACCCTAACCTTCCTGCAATCGAAGGAAGCAGAAAGGCAGGATCGAAGGCTCCATCTCACGCTGGCTGCTAGGCCCAAATCGAAAGGAGCCAGAGAAGCATAATCGAAGGGTGCTGCTGCCTAAATCGAAAAAATCATTTTCCCTTCTTTTTATTTTGTTTTATCTTTATATTTTCTTACTATTTAATATGGTTGTAATAGTTTAGGATATTTATTTTCTGCATTTTTATTGCTTTATACAAATGTTAGTAATTAGAATGTATGGGAAGATAAAACCAACGATTAGACAACCCAAAAATCAAAGACATAAATCCATGTAATCAAACACACTTTGCACACATGCACCTTGTGATACGGTGGTAGAACCGGAACTGTTTGAAATGCTGGTTTGCATTTTGCATTTGTGTTTGCAAAATGTCGCGGTAAGCAAGAGTCGCCACCAACTTTTATTTTATCCAACCAAAAAGGAAAAAAGCACAGAAAAATTCCTTTTTTCGAGATATTCTGAGTACGAGGAGTAGATTATAGAAAAGGAAGGTGTTAGCACCCTTTCTATCCGTATTTTTTCTACGGGCTCTTAAGTACTTGCTCATCATTTTAAAATTGCTTCTGTGTTTGTGTGATTTGAAAAAAGTTTTTGTTTTACTTTGATTTATCTGTTAGATGTCTGCCATATCTGAACCATAGTTGACCAATCCTCCATCTATCTGTGCCATATCTAAACCATAGTTGACCATTCACCGTCCATTTGTGCCATATCTAAACCAAAGTTGACCATCATCCTATAGATGTCTGACATAGTTGACCATCTTCCTATGGATGTCTCACATACCCCACACATAGTTGATCATCTTCCTATGAATGTCTGACATTATTCCCACATAGTTAATCATCATCCTATGGATCTCTCACATCCTCACACATCATTCACCATCATCCTATGCATCTCTGACATACTTCACACATGGTTGACCATCATCCTATGCATCTTTAACATACTTCACTTCATAGTTGACCATCTTCTATGTAGTTCACACATGGTTGACCGTCTTCTATCCATCTCTGACATACTTCACACATAATTAATCATCATCTTATGGATGTCTCACATATTTCAGACATAGTTAACCACCATTTGTTGGATGTCTGACATACTTCACACATAGTTGAGAATCATCCTATGCACCTGTGTCATATCTGAATTAGAGTATTAAAAATGATGTATATAAATTATTGTATTTAAAACTATCTAAATTAATTTTTTATTAAATATTTACTTTTAATTTATTTAGTACCGTTTAAAAGTAAATCGAATATATTTGTGATATCTAAAAACTATCTAAAAAAATATTGTATTAAAATTGATGTATATAAATTATTGTATTTAAAACTATCTAAATTAATTTTTTATTAAATATTTATTTTTAATTTATTTAATAACATTTACGAATTAATCAAATAAAAAGTTTGTAATATTTAAAAAATATATAACTAGTAGTAATTATCATATTTAAAACTCTCGAATTTATATTTTTATTAAATATTTACTTTTAATTTATTTAGTAATATTTAAAAATTAATGTGATATATTCAGCAATGCATCTTTTCATTTTTTCATTTCTTCAATTATTGGAACTCAAATTGCCTAATCATCTGGTGCAAAAATGATTTCGTACTATCATGAAGCAAAAACAGACAATGTACAATGGAGGAGTGTTTTAGTGTGTGGTGGAGGAGTGCACTTTATCATCATCTAATTCAATGATTCATTAAAGTGTTCTTGTTTAAAATTTGCTAAATGATTTTTAGCAACGATTGTATAAGGTTTTTTATTTATTTTAGGCCACAGTTTTAAATTTGTAGCCGAAACTAATTTAGTAAATTTTTTTACTATTAAGAACACTTTTATAAATAAATCAATTTTTTTTTATAATATATTCAACCGGAACACTTTTAAAAAGTATTTCGGTATGACTTTTTTTATAATTTTTGAAAAATATTCAATCGGAACACTTCCAAAAAGTATTTCAATATAAATTTCTTTATCATAACATTTCTTGGAAGTATTCCGATATAAAAATTTATTTATCGAAACACTTTCAAAAAGTGTTCCTGTATATATTTTTGTAAATCAAATGACTTTCAAAATTGTTCCGATTTATATATTTTGGATGTTCCGAAATGCGAGTAAAAAGTGAAAATTTTAAAAATATATTCAATCTAATTTATATGGCTCATGGATAAAGCCCAATATAATTCCTATAAAAGTACCTTGATCAACCCCGAAAGATAGTTTGTTTCAAAAAGAAAAAACAATCAACGAAGATAAGAAAAACCATCACCGCCAAGCTACCGAATTTAGAGTGTGAATCTATTTCATTTTCATTCATCTTCTTCCTTAATCTCTCTATCAATCCCTTTGTTCTTCGTTTATTCACATCATGGCAACAGCTTCAGGTATATCATCTCCTTTTCAAATGGAGGGAGGTGAGAGCTATAGGGTTTTCAAATCTCTTAATTTGGATCCTCAACTCTTGTTCAACGAAATTTTCAACACCGGCGACGATTTGTTAATCGAAACTTTCGATTTCATCTTCCGGTAACCAACTGATTTCACTTTTCTTCTTTCCACCCAATTTTCTATCTATAGCTTCATGTTTTTTTTTGTTGCAGGGAAGCATCTATCAAGCTCAACCTTGAAGGTACAAAAAGGTCTCAACATCTCAAACAGGTTCCTATCCTTCATTTCAAATTGTTTAATTACGGTATTTAACCACTAACACGAACGGAATCGCTTATTAATTTGTGTTTTATGGAAGGGTATCAATGGCATTCTACAAAATGTTCAATCTGTTGTGGATCAAAAGCTTGCTGTTTGGGAGGAATACTGCCTTTATCACTGTTTTTCTCTCCCCCAAGAATTTCAAATGCCAAATACTGTATGTTCTTCTCTAACTCACTTGCCTCCCTAATTGCAGTTGGGATGTTTATTTAAAAGTTGAGTACTGCCTTTCAGGATGATTTGGGTGGGAATCACATTGATCTTGTGCCTACTTCCCCTCAAGAACTAGATGCCGAGTTAGAATCGTTGAGGAAAAAACTAGCTGAGGTAAAAATCAATATTCATACTTACTTTGTTTCTCATTTTCATTTTTATTGCTAATAAATGTGCAGGTGGGGAAAGAATCGGAAATGCTAAATCAAGAAATTCAGGCACTCCCGAAGCACTCTTCTCTCAATGCTCTACATATCAATGAGGCAGTTCAATTACTTGAGCAAAACTCTCAGGGTAATTTAAATTAAGCGTTCCATTTTAATGTATGCTTGTATGTATTAAGTATTATTAGCACACGTAAATTTCTTTTCCAACACAGTTTGATGATGCAAAAGAATACCGAATTCCTTGAATACAGTTTTTCTTCTTCCAATTACACTGCCACTTGTATAAGACACTAGTATGTCTAAATATTTAAGCAAATAATGAACATTCATGATAATCTGTCTTCTGATTGTGTTTTATCGAAATTATCATTAGATTATTAGCTATATTTATTTGGGATTGTGATTTTGTAGAGGTTTTGACAACTGCACAAGAGCTTCGACGGAAGATTGGAAAGCGAAACACCAACATGATTGAAGAGACCGAAGAAATGAAAGCAAAACGTTTCAACAACAATAAAATGGATACTTCTGCTAAAGGTAACCAAAATATCGTTCATTGTTCTGCAACATGAATTAATTTTAATAGGTTGAACTCCATAGTTCTGAGTTGGGCATTCCTGGTTGCAGGCCTCTCAAATATGAAATTAGAAGATCTTCAACGATTTGTAACCCAGTTGGAGTGAACATGTGCTTGTTTTACTGATAATTGTTTGTTTGTAGTTTTTCTCAATTAGAATTTGCCTCTCATGTTGAAACTAATGGATTTCAATTATTTATAGTCTTTCTCAATTTAGTTGGGTAAAGGCAGAAGTTAGAAGTTTTGAAGTGACATGTAACAAAGTGAACTATCTCAAAAGTTACAGGATAATACTTGTGTTTTTTTTCTTCTATTAATTTTAATTTCATTGTTAGCTTGGTTTAATAGGTTGTGATAAAGCTATTTCTTCGTTGCTAAAGTTTTGATGAAATTTCTGTTTACTTCCCAAAAGGTGAATATGTAAAGGGAAAGTCCTAAGGAAAACATTAGCACATGTTAAGGAATAGTTGTTTACAGCCTTACATGCTTATTTATTGATTCTTAATTCATGGATATTGGATTTTGTAAGTAACCATTCATTTCAAATGCATAGTATTTTGTTGTTGGCTTTAGAAAGTAAATGTTCCATTGGGCTAACTTCTTTTGCCATTTAAAGTTAGATGTAACTTATTTGTGTGTGCATAAAGGTAGTAACTGCTAATGGGGATATTTAGTGTCAACGTTAAGATTATAGACTCGTGATCTTCAACTAGGAAGTTGTCATTAATTTATGTTGCAAGTATATGTAAATGATGATCAGAAGAGTAGTGATTTATGGGTGCCATTGCAAGTATATAAGATCTAAGTTTTTCTTTACTTAGTCCTCATGTATTATTTTTTCAATGGCCATACAAAGGTAGGCTTAACTGAACCAAACTGTCATAACAGTTTGGTGAACCGGTTCAGTATTTTTTCTCCAAACTGAACCAATGCATATTTTTCCTATCGAGAGGTGAAATGCTAATAGCTTGCTAGCGACGTTTGTCATCACAATGCATATTTTTGGTTTCAATGTACTATGATATCAAAAGCTCACCGAACTATGTTCTTTAGCAACAGTTGATGTGAAGAAGTGGTGGCTGTGGGGTTACTGGCTTTCACCAATGATGTATGGACAGAATGCTATAGCTGTGAATGAATTCCTTGGAAAGAGTTGGTCCTATGTAAGCAAGCAACTCAATTACATGAGTGAAACATTGTTACATGCATAGTGAAGAATGTTAATCCCTGTTTGAAAATATGTGAATACCTTTTCATTGTAGATTCCACCTGGTTCAACAGAACCATTAGGAGTGCAGATTTTGAAGTCCCGTGGGATTTCCCTGAAGCATATTGGTATTGGATTGGAGTAGGAGCTTCCATATGTTTTATGTGCTTCAGTTTGTAAAATTCATGTAGTGCTCTAAGTAACAAATGGAAAATTTTACTGCATCATTTAACAAATCACAAGCTTTAATATCAGAAGAAGCCCTGGCTGAGATAAATGCTGCCACTACTGGAGACCACATATCATTGGATTATCGCCTAAAGTCGAATGTTCTTCAACTGAGTTACAAGTTGGCTTACAAAAATTCTTCCTATTCAGTGTATGATGATCGATATAATTTCAATGCAGCCAAAGGAAAGGCAAGTCGAAGAAGTTTTTCTTCAACTACGGTGTCAGCAAAAGTGGGCAGTATTAGTGAAACTGATCACAGTAGGAAACGGGAGATGGTTCTTCCTTTCACACCCCTTTCTATCACTTTTGATGAAATCGGATATGAAGTGGACATGCCACAGGTACATGAATTAGCTTCAAATTTCAAAGGCACTTTTAAGTATCCTCACGATATGCTTCTAATACTTTCCCTCTATGCTTGCTTGTAGGAAATAAAGGCCAAAGGAATTCTTGAAGATCCACTTGAACTTTTGAAGGGTGTTAATGGAGCTTTTAGACCAGGAGTTCTAACAGCTCTAATGGGTATAAGTGGAGCTGGTAAAACAACTCTAATGGATGTGTTGTCTGGATGGAAAACAACAGGATACCATCTATGAATCTCCATGTTACTGTCTATGAATCTCTTGTTTATTCTTCATGGCTCCGGTTACCATCTGAGGTGGATTCTGCCACAAGAAAGGTAAAGTCTGTCAATTTATTGTTTTATTTATTTATTTATTTCTGTACATAAAGTCACTGTATATTAATAAGTCATGTGGCACACACCACTTATTGCAGATGTTCATTGAGGAAGTTATGGAGTTAATAGAGTTGACTTCAATAAGAGAAAGGCTCGTTGGATTTCCAGGTGTGAATGGTTTGTTCACTGAGCAGCGCAAAAGGCTTAATGTGATTATAAGCCTTTTCATTCTTTCTTTCACATTTTTAGTATTAATGTATTGCAATGCTATCAGGTGCGTTTCTTCCTTGGCAATCATGGAAAAGATCTTTCTCTAGTTAATGTTTTACAACAACATTTTAGCACAAATTTTATTATTGAGTGTTTTGCACTTAAGATCACATTGTTTATTGTTTATCTATAATCCGACTGAAGCTTACTTATCATAATTTAAAATAGTTAATTAGATTTGATGCATTGTATCAATATCCACAATATAATTTCCCTGTTAATTTTTTTGGTACATGATTGCTAATATGGAGAATGTCATTATTGTTTATAAATGTGTATCATATTTAGTAGGAAAATAATAGTATTCATATTAAATTATTGTATAGGAAAATTACCGTTTATATTTATCAATTATATTTATTTAACTTTTTTTTAATTTTGAAATATATTAGCTATGGATTTACCTGCGAATTTGTTTCCTTTGGATTTTCCTACGGAACAATAGTCCCGCGGATTTACAGTTACTCATGATGGGGACCTAAAACGGCAGGAAAACCTCTCCATGTAAATCCGCAGGGAAACTTGTAGAGACAAAAGTGAAATAACACTTTAAAATTGGAAGGGAACTTAATTGTCTGTTTATTGAAATAAACCTAAGGCATTTTATAGCCTTTTACACGTACTGAAGCAAAACAGAAAGACCAATTTTTATGGCAAGTTACAAGGAAATTCAAAAGCAACTAATCCTAGAAAATAGGGAAATCCATAAGACTAGGGATTTATTGATGACGTGAATAAAATAAATAACTAATTTTGACTATCATTCCCTCCCTTAAGCTAATGCATCTGCATTGAGCTTAAACTTCAACTGCATCAATTACTCCAAGCATTCCACGGAGCTTCACAAATTGCTCCAATTTGAGAGGCTTTGTCATTATGTCGGCAATCTGTTCTTCAGAGCTACAAAAACTCAACTTCACAACTCCATCATTTACCAAGTCTCGGAGAAAATGAAATCTTACTCCAATATGCTTGCTTCGTCCATGAAAAACAGAATTTTTTGACAGCTGAATTGTAGAGCTGTTGTCACAATAAATTTCCGTGCTTCCTCTTTCTTCAGCTCCAAGTTGCTCCAATAATCTCCTAAGTCAAATACATTGACAAGCACAAAGTGCAGCAGCAATGTATTCAGCTTCTGTAGTTGATAGGCTCACTACAGGCTGCTTTTTCGAAGCCCATGAAATTGCTCCAGACCCCATAATGAAAGCAAAACCTGATGTGCTCTTCCGGTCATCCAAATCTCCAGCATAGTTGCTATCTGTATAAGATGTGAGACCTGCATTTCTTCTGCCTCTTTTGTAGAGTATGCCAAAATCAGTGGTTCCTTTTACATACCTTAAAATCCTTTTTGCTGCAAGCCAATGAGATGACTTTGGATTTGCCATGAACCTACTAATCAAGCTTACTCCATACATTAGATCTGGTCGAGTGGCTGTGAGGTACATGAGGCTTCCAACTGCTTGTTTAAACATGGTAGTATCTATTCCATCTCCTGCCTCATCTTTTGATAATCGTGTTCCCGGAATGATGGGATTCTTCACGGAATTGCTGCTCCCCATGCCGAATCTTTCAAGAATTTCTTGAGCATATCTTCTCTGGCAGATAAATATTCCAGCTTCATTCTGTATCACTTCAATTCCCAGAAAATATCTCATCATTCCTAAGTCAGACATATCAAATTCTTTCATCATTGAGCTTTTGAATTTATCACACATACTCTTATTGCCTCCAGTAAAGATGAGATCATCTACATAAAGACTAACAATAAGCATGTTACCTCCTTCTTTCTTGGTAAATAAGGTGTGCTCGCTGGAACATTTTTCAAACCCTTCACGTATAAAATAAGCTTCTATTTTGCTGTACCAAGCCCTTGGCGCTTGTTTAAGGCCATACAACGCCTTCTTCAATCTGTAAACCTGGTCTTCTTTCCCCTTTTTGATAAACCCTTCTGGCTGTTCAACAAAAACCTCTTCTTCAAGTTTTCCATGAAGGAATGCACTCTTCACATCAAGTTGAAATATTTCCCATTCATATTGAGCTGCAAGTGCAAGAATTAGACGTACCGTATCAAGTCTGGCTACTGGTGCAAAAACTTCCATGTAATCGATTCCATATCGTTGTGCATATCCTTTTGCCACCAATCTTGCTTTGTGCTTTTCTACTTCTCCACTTTCGTTGAGTTTGGTTTTGAAAACCCACTTGACTCCAATTGGCTTGATTCCCGTCGGTAAATCGGTTAGCTCCCATGTGTTGTTCTTCTCTATAGCCTCCATCTCAACTTTCATTGCCTCTTGCCACTTTATGCATTGATGTGCTTCTTCGAATGAGCATGGATCATTTTTGCTTTCGGCGATCAGCATCATGAGATTTTCTTCTTCTTCAGCCAAATCAGCCCCTGTCACATAGTCTGTCATCCATATTGGTTTTCTTCTAGATCTTATTTCCCTCCCTTGAACTAGATTTTCTGGAGTAGTGTTGCTGTCCTCACTTGCAGGTGATATGATTCCACTTGAGTTGCCACCACCATCTTCATTTTCTTCTTGTTCAACTTCTTCTTGCTCAACTTCTTCTTCTTCAAGATTGCCATCTTCATCTTCACATACTAACACATCAGCTTTCCTTTCTTTATCGGTTCTGCCCCAATCCCAGCTTTTCTCTTCTTCAAACACCACATCTTTGCTTACAATGATTTTCTTGGAAACAGGATCAAATAATTTATAAGCTTTTGATCCATCACTGATTCCTAAGAAAACACACATCTTACTCTTATCCTCAAGCTTGGTTCTTCTTTGATCTGGTATATGAACATGAGCCACACACCCGAAGACTCGAAAATATGCCACCGTAGGCCTCACATTGCTCCATGCTTCTTCGGGAGTTGTATTTTCTATTGCTGAAGTTGGACTTCGATTTTGTACGTGCACACACCATCTCACAGCTTCTGGCCAAAATACCTTCGGAACTTGCCTTTCGTTCAATACAGCCCTTACACCATTCATGATCGTCCTATTTTTCCTCTCAGCGACTCCGTTTTGCTGAGGAGTATAAGCCGCTGTTAATTGCCTTCTAATGCCTTGAGTTTTGCAGAATTCGTCAAATTCATGTGAGGTGAATTCACCACCTCTATCTGTTCTCAAACAAGCAATGTGTTCACCAACTTCTTTTTCAACACTAATTTTGTAGTTCTTGAAGTATTGGAATGTTTCGGATTTCTCATGTAAGAAATAAACCCAAGTTTTACGTGAGAAATCATCTATAAAGCTTAAAATATACCTCTTGTTGCTGTTTGAAGAAGGCTTGAGAGGACCGCATATGTCGGCATGTACGAGTTGTAGTTTCCTTGAGGCTCTCCACATGCTTTTCTTTGGAATTGATCTTCTGTGTTGTTTTCCAATTAAGCAGGTGATGCAGGGCTTCTTTGGGATCTTCAGATTTGGTAAGCCAGCTACCAAGTGTTTTTGTGATAATGTATTGAGACCCTTGTGATTAAGGTGCCCAAACCTGCAGTGCCACAGGTGAACTTCTTTTTCTGTCTCTAGCTCTGTTCGTAGACACATGGTCTCCTTTGGTGCTGCAGTGGCTGACACATGAAACATTCTATTTTTACTCATATTACTTTGCATGATTAAACCCTTCCTAGAGTGAAATACTTTACATATTCCATTTTGAATCAATATTGCCAGCCCTTTTTCTTGAAGTTGTCCTAAGCTAAGCAGATTATTCTTAAGCTCAGGAACAAAGTAGACATCTGAGATTACTTGAGTGACACCATTAACTTGCATTCTTACATTTCCTTTTGCTATCACATCCATTGTCATGTCATTCCCCAATTTCACAGTTCGACAAATACCTTCTTCTAAATTAGAGAACCAACCTTTGTTTCCTGTCATGTGGTTGCTACATCCTGAATCCAAGAACCATACCTCCTCTTGCCTTGTTTGGTGCAGATCCATGTGTGACATCAACAAGAGATCCTCTTCTTCTTCCATCTCTGCATAGTTTGCCCTTTTCTCCCATTCTGGACATTCATATTGAAAATGACCAAGCTTATGACACTTGAAGCATTCAATAATTGATTTGTTTAGGGCCCGTCTTTCACGTCCTCTTCCTCTTCCACCTCTAAAAAAGGCTCTTCCTCCTCTTCCTCTTCCAAATCTGTCATCATGAGCAACTTTCAACACCTGTTCCTCCACTTGATGTTCCTGCATCCTTTGTTCATGAACAAGAAGACTTCCATGGAGTTCATCAATGGTTAAGATGCTTAAATCATTTGACTCCTCTATCAAACATACGACATAATTGAATTTAGAAGTCAATGATCTAAGTATCTTACTGACCACCGTGCTTTGCCCCATGTCTTCACCATTTGATTTCATCTTGTTCACCACACTGAGGGTTCTTCCTAGAAAGCTGTCCACCTTCTCTCCTTCTTTCATAGCAAGCAATTCAAACTCTCTTCTCAGAGCCTGAAGTTGTGCCCTCTTTACCTTTGTGGAACCTTGGTACTTTTGCCGCATCGACACCCAGATTGCCTTTGATGTCCCTTTGTCAAGAATAGTTTCCAGAATTTCTCTATCAATAGCCTGGAATAAAAAATTCTTAACCTTCAAATCCTTGAGCTTGGCTTCCTCCACACTTTTTCTCTGTGCTTCACTCGCTGTTGAGGTTCCAATCGCCGGTGCCGGTATTCCTTCGTCTACAAGACTCCACATCTCTTTGCTTCTCAGAAAATTTTCCATCATCATTGACCAATGATCATAATGACCGTCAAATTTTGGAATAGCTGGTTGCGCGAACTTTTCTGACATTTTGTTTGTAGACTCACACACACTTTTCACTCCCAATCAGGCCCCTTGCGGAGCTCTGATACCAAATGTAGAGACAAAAGTGAAATAACACTTTAAAATTGGAAGGGAACTTAATTGTCTGTTTATTGAAATAAACCTAAGGCATTTTATAGCCTTTTACACGTACTGAAGCAAAACAGAAAGACCAATTTTTATGGTAAGTTACAAGGAAATTCAAAAGCAACTAATCCTAGAAAATAGAGAAATCCATAAGACTAGGGATTTATTGATGACGTGAATAAAATAAATAACTAATTTTGACTATCAAAACTGTATTTTTCTAGTAGTGATAGCTATAGATTTTATTAAATTGTTTAATATTTTTTCAAATATGTTGGTGATAGATTCGACTTATGAAACCAACAAATACTGTTTACCGATCCTTGAGTCTCTCGGTGTAACTTCTACGGTTATAGCATACTTAATTGCCTTTCAAAATATGATGTATGAGAAGCAAGACAAACTCCATTTGAAATTTATAGAGATGTCATGATTTGTTGAAGTTTATAGATAATAATTTTAAGGATATTGAGATTGATCGGGGACAATGCCTTCAATACAAGAAATTTTGCATTTATCAACAACAAAAATTCGTTGGCAAACGTCCAAAAATCGTTGGTAAAGATAAGAAAACCTATAGCAATAGACATTTGCTTTCTCAATATCTAATACCAAGGGTAATTTCAGGCGTTAGTCAAAACTTTGAGACTATAACAACAACTAATTACATTATTTAATAATGGGTTAAATATGTTTTTGTTTCTTATAAATATCTTAAATTTTATTTTTAGTCGTTATTAAAATAATGACAAGTTTTAGTTTCTATAAAATTATTATGCACGTAGTTTTAGTCACTGTTATTTTGTAAACATGTTTAGAACGTTATAAAAAATTATTTGAAAAAAAAGAAATTCAAAATTTGATTTCTAAGTCGAGATTTTCATTATTTTTATCAATATCTTTTGAAATTTAAAAAAATTATATTTAATTCTTCTCATTTTAAAAAATTTTAAATTATAATAAAGAAATATTTTATAGTATTCCAAACACGTATAAAAAATATTATTTAAAAATTTAAAAGTTTAAAGGTAATTAAACAATTTTTAAAATTTTAGAAAATAAATATATTTAACTCTTTAATAATTATATCCACCACATATTTCTGTTGGTATATAATGAAATTAGCTATTGGTATATGTTTCTTTTTTTTATAATCTAACTTTGACAATATATTCTATAAGAATAATTTTTATATCTTGTTAGTGTAAAATTTTTTTATGTAGAAAGTTAACAATTTTCCATGTCATTAAAAAAATTTAAAATGAAAGTGAAATATAATTAAATACTTGATTTTGATTGGTTGATAATATAAAACTATTTTACTCACAACATTGTGAGTGCATCACTTATTTTCTCATTTTCTATATGCTCCACCTAAGGCTGGACAGATTATTCCAAAACCGGTCCAATCCGACCTATCCAAGGGGCCCGTTAGTAAGCGGTTCGGGTCAAACGGGTTATCGGATAATCGGTTTTTCAAGAAATGGATGTATATGGATTGTACCGGTCGGTTTCAGATAATTTGTTTGGGTCCATCGAAATCCAAAACCGACCGGCCTAGGTTACAAATTTTCAATTTTGTATTTCATTTTTCATTTCAGTTTCACAGTCTCTCTCTCTAATCTCTATGTGCTACTACTGCTAGGGTTTCACCTTCGTCGTTTACGACCGTCTTCTACCACCGTCATCGTTTACGATTCTCAAGCACCACCATGCCACCACGCCGGCCACCACGAACCACCAGCGATCAAGTAAGTTCTTCGTCGTTCTCTTTCTCCTTCTCTCTCTTTATCTCTTTCTCCTTCTCCCTCTTTCTCTCTTTCTCTATCTACCTCTCTCTGTTTGTCTCTAACTTAGCAGAACACAAACCGACCGATCCAGGTTTTAACCCCTGTTTCAATGGCTTCTCCCTGTATCAGGTTTTAACCCTATAGAAAGTAGAACACAAACCGACCGATCCACCCCTGTTTTAACCCTAGTGCAGCAGCTTCAATGGCTTTTTGCTTATTCTCAAGAGTACAATAGTAAGAATATAGAATCATCCCAACCATGGCTAATAGAATACCCATTATGTTTCTCCAGCTGAATGGATCCTGGAGCAAAGTATACCCAAATGCTAATACAAGGCATGATCCTACACTCTTATATAAAAGTGTTACTATAGATTTTGCTTTGTCTTTTATACTTCCAAAGAGTATATTTTCTTTTATAGTTCCTGATTGTATCCATGCTGATTGGGAGACATATGCAGCAGAACCACACACACTGACCTGCAAAATAATCCAATGTATTTTGTAAGAACTTTTACAAACTGAAGACTAAGGGCCTGTTTATAGCATAACCGCTTATCATATAAGTGTTTATGCATAAGCTGTTTCTATAACAAAAGATGAAATAAAGTCAAATTGTTTTCATGTAAGCTATAAGCTCTCTTCATAAGCTAACCTGGAGAGCTTATGGAAACAAGATGAAAACAACTTATAGACATGTCATAAGTTGTTTTTATATGCTCTCCCAAAAGTATTTATGCTAGAAGATAACATCAACTAAGTCAATCCAAACAACCCCTAAAATGCAAATAAACAAATATAAAATTAACATATAGAAAGAATTGAAAGCTTAAGTAAACAAACATACTTCACCAGAAATCTTAGGAATCTCTCCAAGGATGCAAGAAAGAAAAATTAATAGAAATATACTCTATTATTTTCTGAGTCAGATCAAGAGTTAGTCTCCTTTAATAAGCAGTTTTAGAAACAGATGCAGCTTCAGAAACAGCGAAACTAGAACATTGTATAGTGAATCAATGTAATGGAGTTTGATTTACTTTACCAAACTTTAATATTAAAAAAAATAAATAAAAAGTGAAAATAAATCTAGGAGTTGATCCATACCAGCAAATAAGGAAGATTGGTAACTGTTTGGCTAACAGCAAGCCAGATAATACCATAGCCAAGAAAAGAAGCAAAAGCACCAACAGAGAGTATAAGCCAAGGCGGAAACGTATTGCAAGCGATACCAGGAAGCAAACCAACGTTTTCACCAATATCATTAGCAACACCAAGAAGTTTAACTTGCCTTTGATTGAAACCCAAAACAGATTTCAAAGAGTGTGAGTATAGAGGAAAAGTAAAGGTGTTTCCTGATGCTATTTGAACCCAAACTGATGCTCCTAAACCTACCCATGGTGGTCTGCTTCCTCCTTTCAAAGTTAACATTTTTTTGTGTTTTGAAATTGTGGGTTGTGGGGTTTATATATGGTGAGTGGTGAGTTAGTGTGTGAATTGGTGGTTGTTTGAGAAGGAAGGAAAAGTAGAGAGAACTACCAAATCTGTTGTGGTGGACGGTTAAATGAAAGTAAAGGAAAACATGACCCATCAGTTTCTTTGCGTGGTACTTTTCAATTATTTGACATGGGTCACACTGTTTTTTTTTTATATTATCTTTTATTTTTACATTATAATGTATTAAAGGTATAGAAAAGATTTTACATGTTAAATGTTGATTGGATTACATCATTTTTTATTTAACTTTTTTCACAGATTAGGCATGTTGCTTGAGTATGGTAGCCATTTTCTCCCTTTGAGAAAATCCAGTAGTTGCATTGATCTATGTAGTATCCTGATGCATGGTCTTGTCTTGCAGGTATTGTCAACCTTTAGTGTATGTTAAGTATCCTGATGCATGGTCTTGTCTTGCAGTTGCAAGTATTGTCTTGTCTTACATGATCTTTTTTAGTCTAACATTTAAATTGTTCATGTAAGTAACTGTTTTAGATTATTCATATAGGACTAAGTGTTTTTGTTGACCAAAATATTTTCAGTGATGGAACATCCTGTTCCCTATGTTGAACCTACACAAGCAGTAGAAACCGCACTTCCTCCTCTCCCCCCTTCTAGGAAAAAAAGACTAGTTAATGCTAGTGGATCTAGGAAAACTTCCACCGTTTGGTTAGACTTTAACATTTTGCCGGATGAACCTGAACCAATAGCTGCGTGTAAACATTGTCACAAAAGATATCGATGCGAACCTAAAACACATGGAACATCTAACATGTTAGCTCACTCAAAAGTGTGTCACAAAAACCCTAACCTTTTACAGAAAGATCCCACTCAAAGAAACCTTGTAAGTGGTGAAGGTGGTTTTTTAGGTTCAACAAGCCAAAGGTTCAATGCTCAAGCATGTAGGAAGGCTATTACTTCCTTTGTACTTCTTGATGAGCATTCATTTAGAGTGGTAGAGGGTGAGGATTTTAAGAGACTATGCAAACAACTACAACCACAAATGACCATCCCTTCAAGGAGGACTATTGTTAGGGATTGTTTTCAACTTTACCTAGCCGAAAAGTTAAAACTTAAAGCCTTCTTTAAATCTGATTGTCCTAGGGTTGCACTAACCACTGATTGTTGGACTTCAATTTAAAATCTTAGTTACATGGCCATAACTGCACACTTCATTGACAATGAATGGAACTACCATAAAAAGATTATCAGTTTTAGTTTAGTTCCAAATCACAAGGGTGACACCATTGGTAAGAAAGTGGAGGATGTTTTGAATGAATGGGGGCTTAGAAAAGTGTCAACAATTACCCTTGATAATGCAACATGTAATGATGTGGCCGTTTCTTATTTGGGAAAAAGACTTAAAAGCAAGAATGCTTTAGTTGGTGATGGGAGTTTTTTTCATATGAGGTGTGCTGCCCATATCTTAAACTTAGTAGTGAGAGATGGGAAAAAAGATCATGAATTGGCTATTGAAAGTGTTCGCGAAGCTGTTAGGTTTGTGAGGTCCTCACCACAACGAGCTTTAAAGTTTAAGGAGTGTATTGAAATTATAGGGATAACATGTAAAAGAAAACTTGGCCTTGATGTTTCCACACGATGGAATTCCACATATTTGATGTTGGATGCTGCTGAGAAGTTTCAGGCAGCATTTGAGAAGTTAGAGGATGAGGATCCTGGGTACATGGAATTTTTTAACCTCTCGGGTCCTCCTTGTTCTATTGATTGGGAAAAATCTAGGGCTTTTGTGATTTTTTTGAAAATATTCTATGATGCAACCAAATTGTTTTCATCTTCGCAAGAAGTGTCGTTACATTCTTCCTTTCATAATTTGTCTGAAATTTTGTGTAAGCTTCAAGAAGCTTCCTTGAACATGAATACCTATGTGGCTCCAATGGTTTCAAATATGAAGACAAAATTTGATAAATATTGGGGAGATGTTGAAAAAGTGAATCATTTCCTATTTTTTGGAGTGATATTTGACCCTAGGTTTAAGTTCAGTTATGTTGAGTGATCTTTCAATGACATGCATGGGGATGGTAGTCCAATTGCTAATAAAAGTATTGAGTGTGTCAAGAAAAGTCTATTTACACTATACAATTGGTATAAATCTGAGCACAATAAGAATGTTGAGGCTGCCCTCTTAGATGCACCATCCGAGAGCACTTCTCTTGGAGAAACAAGTACCCAAGCTAGAAAAACTACACTTTTTACAAGGACTGATGCATTTAAACAACACTTGAAGGATAAAGTCATTGTTGATAATAAAAATGAACTAGAGAAGTACTTAGGTGATCCATGTTGGGTTGATGCTGAAAATTTTAACATTCTTAAATGGTGGAAGGAGAATTCAACTCGTTATCCTATATTAGCTACTTTGGTTAGGGATGTTTTGGCAACACCTGTTTCAAGTGTAGCATCTGAAAGTACTTTTAGCACGGGTGGAAGGATTTTAGACATGTATAGGAGCTCTTTGAGTCCATCAATGGTTGAGGTGCTTATTTGTTCTCAAAATTGGTTGATGCCTTCGGACGAGAACGATCTAAAAGTCCTTGATTTACTTGAAGAATATGACATAATTGATTCAATAGTTTCAGGTACATAGTTAATCCTTTTGTCCTTTTAAAAATTATTTGATAAAGTTACACATCATCTCATTACAATTTTCTTATATGGTTGTAGAATTTCAAGTTGCTTGTGTTGTTGGAGCAGCTGCTCCTGGGCAGGCTGGCCCGATTTAATTAGCTTTTAGGTATGAAAAAATTAAAAGTTATATACTAACTGTTTTCTAAGCCATAAACTGAATATTTTTTATATTTTTATGTGCAGCCACTTTTTTGGAGTCGTGAATGACTCGACTTTTTGAAGTCTGAACGACACAACTGACCTATATCAGTCTCGCACATCAATTCCCGCACAGCACTGGATCCATTTGAAAATGATACAAGTTAATTTTTGGTAACTCTTTATTCATTTTGTTTTAATTCCTCCTTGTTTTAATTTTGTTTGTGAAATGTATGGTTCCAATCATTTTAATTTTGTTTTAATTCCTGAACACATGATTGTTGTTATTTTTAGCTTCCATCACGCCTATATATTCAGTTGGAATCAAAAGTGTCCAGAGAAGTTTCTCAAAGAAGTTTTGGGGATGCCATGAGAATGGTGAGTTCTATTACAATGTTGTGTTAACTTGCTTTTGCTACCTTTTATTATTTTTTGAATTTACTGTCTGAGTGCTCTGCTATCACAGAAATTTCACCCACTCAATTTTAGTTAAAATAGAAACCCACACCAAGTGAATTGGAATTTGGTTGAGATATATGGTGGTGATATAGAGCTTTATGACCTTGTATCTGTTGACGCCCCTTTTTATAATAGAGTATATTTCTAGGACTAATACTATTTTCATATATATTGTAGTTTAAAAAAATGCAGTAGGGGAATTTGAAGTTATACGACTCAACTCTAGCTACACTTTCAGTTTCTTTCAGCAGAGAACTACAATTAGACTTAGTCGAGTCTTTGTTGAATCAGATTTCTGATTGCTTGTATCCACATTCTTACAATGCTTTGCTGGCATCATGTGATGCACTGGTGAGCTCAATTATGAAACTTCAAACTATAGCAATTACTAAATTGAGTCTTCTGTATGCTACTTATATTACTGAATAATCTGGTAGTACAAGGTGAAGCACAATAGTATAGCAATTACTTTACAGAAAAAGGAAACAAGGAAACTCAAACTATTGTGTTCCTATAAGAAATTTCTCCACTTGGATAATTTTCTAGCGCAGTTTAATAAGCCAGGGCCCATCAAACAAATGAATGTATTTTTATTACTATAATATTGTTGGTTACTATTTGTTTGCCTTGGATTTGTTGTAATGACATGCTAAGTCCTCCTTCATTTCATCAATAGGTTGCATAGAAAAGCCCCTATTAGGCTGAGCAACTGAATTTAAAAGTGAACTATCTCTAACAAAATTCCTCTTGTATTTCGGTGCTTATACTGACTTACATTTTATCTAATCAAAATTTGCAGAATCAACCTGAGCGGGCGGTGCGGGTGTTTGCAAAGATGAGGCTGCATAGTCATCGTTCATTGAAAAATTTAGTAAGTTCTGTAATGTTTCCATTTTTTATCCATAATTTAAGGATGATGCAATCTTATGTGGAATTCCTTCTGCTAGAATCTATGAAGAACTTAAATATGTGCTTGAAAGGGAGGTATTCAATTGAGTAGTCAATAATATGTTCCAGGATGCAAATGAGAATGTAGAGTATGCAAAAAATTTACTTGAAAGGTCATGCATAATTTTGTTTAGAAGCAAAAATTTTGAAATATATTATTTCTAAAATAACACTTCTCTTCTCTTGCAGCTTACAGTGGAACACTTCTCTTCTCTTGCAGCTTACGGTGGGTGTTTAAGTGCTGGAAATATGATGGTGAACAAAAATTATAATTAGTGTTGGTTGTGTCATCATGTTGGCTTTTAATGTTAATTTATATATGAAGGATGAATATAATTTAAGTATTCATAGTGTATTTTAAGCTTTCTTTTAATGTTGGCATCTACAAAAACTACCTTATAGACTTTATGTCCAAAATTGAATGTATTATTTTGATATAATATTTGATCATAGTTTATTTGGAATTTACAATTTGATCATAGTTTATTTGGAAGACTGTGTAAATTAGAATGTAAAATAGTGTTAAATTGAGTCATTTATTATTTTTATTATTGCTTTATATTTATTATTTAATATTGTTTTAATTAAAAAAATTAAGATATAATTGAATTTTTTATGACAATTTAATATTAATTAACCGAACAAACCGATTCATTTTAACCGATAAATCGATTAAACCGAATCCGATCAAACCGATTACAATTTTGGTCGGAATTGGGCCTAATATTTGAATTCATGGTTTTACA